TTCCTCTTTGCAATGGTTCATTTGTGCAGAACTCTTTCTCTCTCCCTCTCTCTCACGGTTGGGGTTGTGTCTCTCTCGATGAGTTATATTCTCCCTCTTCTCCATCTCCTATGCCGCTATGTTTGGATCTTTTGATTTGTGTGAGGTGTTGCTTCTTCGTGCGGTGCTCTGTGCGGTGGTTCCTCTGTACTGTGGTATCTCTATGTGGTGATTCCCCTTCGTGTTGGGTAATCCCCGCATAGAGATATGTACATGTATCTGATATTTTTGTGGTTTCCTCTTTTCAATAGTTCATCCATGCAGTGGTTCTTCTTCGTGTTCGGTAATCTTTGTGTAGTGGTTTCTTTACCCTAACTATGTAGCTTTTGGTTTTGTGTGTCGGTTCCTCTTGTTGTTGATTTGGTTCTTTGTGCTAGAGAATTTTGTGATTTTTTATTTGGCTAATACTTATGCTTCATTGTTGCTCGGCTAGAGTTGGATTTAGAGATTTTTAGGGATCTCACATGCAATGGATTAGACATTTGAGATGTTCAAATTGGCAAATATTTATGCTTAATTTTTGTAGTCATGTTACTCACTGTTAAGTGAAGTGTCTATGTTTATTTTGTAATGTTTTGCACTGGAAATTTGTTTTTAAAGTATAGAATGTACTGGTATGAACAGTTTTGTTGCAAACAACAATACTATATATTGGCAGAATGATCATTGTCCAGAAATAGTTGCAGCACAGCTGCTTTCAAACTGCAAAAAACAAATAGACGACTAGTTTATCCTTAGCAATTTATGCGCAACAGCTTCATGTGGCAGGTGTTGCATGGCAGCTTACTATTAAATTGCAACTGCTTTATGGTCTGTTACATGAATATTTTTTCTCTATTGAGTCCTAAGTGTCATATTTTCATTTAATTTTAATAAAAAAGATCATTTTTATACAAAATATGCCCAAGTCTTTGTTAAGTCTACCTCCACCTTTCTTAAAAAAAGTCGAATCTAAAACATCTACTCTCCTAACCAAATCAATAGATAGTCGATGTTTAATGTGACCAAACCATCTAAGACGATTCTCTCTAATCTTGTCTGCCACTAGAGCTACACTAGCCCTATCACGGGTATATTCAGTTCGAAGTTTGTCTCTAAGTGTCAAGTCACTCATCCCTCTCTAATCTTGTCTGCCACTACAGCTACACTAGCCCTATCACGGGTATATTCAATTCGAAGTTTGTCTCTAAGTGTCAAGTCACTCATCCCACCTAAGCATTCTCATCTCAGCAACACTTAATTTTGTTTTATGTTTCTCTTTTAAAGACCAATATTCTACACCATATAACATTGTTGTTCTCACCATCATCTTATAAAATTTTTCTTTCAGTCTAAATAGTACTTTTCTATCACCCGATAGGCCTCACGCATTCCTCCACTTCAACCAACCAACTTGAATTCTATAATAACATCCACATCAATATCACCATCACTTTGAACAATACACTCAAGACATCTAAAATGTTCACGTATTTTAATGATTTGATCACCCATAGTTACAACTCTGCCACTAGGGATACTACTAATAAAATTATATTCTAAGTATTCAATTTTAGTTCTACTCAAACGAAGGCCATTAGACTCTAATGTAGACCTCCATAATTTAAGTTTTTTTTGAACTTTTTCTCTAGTCTTATCCACAAAAAAGAAAATCATCGGCAAAAAGCATACACCAAAGTACATCCTCCTGTAAATATCTGGTAAGAGAATCCATAACTAAAGCAAATCGATATGAGCTTAAAGCTGATCCCTGATGTAATCCAATTGAAATAGAAAAATACTTGGTTAGTCCACCCTCTGTTCACAAGTAACAACTTTAATATACATATCTTGAATGACTTAAATATAAAGCATATCAACACATTTCTTCTCTAAAACTCTCCAAAGGAATTCTCTTGGAACCTTATCGTAAGCTTTATTCTAAATCAATAAAAATCATATATAGATCCTTCTTATTCTCTCTGTACATCTCCATCAAACCTCTCAATAAATGTATAGCTTCCACAGTAGACCTACCCAGCATAAATCCAAACCAGCATAAATCCAAAACATAAATCCAAACAAATTATGAGAAATCTTTGTAACATGCCATTACTTGTGTTCAATTAACCTCTCCCATAATTTTAAAGCATGACACATCAACATTTGCACACTCAAGTGCATCCCCTTTATTCTTAAAAATAAAGATCAAAATACCCTTCCTCCACTCCTTTGGCATCATTTTAGTTTTTAAAGAAATATCAAAGAGTTTAGTAAACCAAGAAACTCTCAAAACTCTTAAATATTTCCACACTTCAATTGGTATATCATCAGATCCTACTAATTTTCCACCATTGGTTTTCTTTAAAGCCTTCTCAACTTCTTTTATACTAATGCGAAGGTAAAAAAAACATTTTATTATTATTAACGACATTAAGATCACTAAAATCGATTGTATTTTCAAAAACTTCATTGAAATGTTTATCAAAATAGCTCACTCAACTATGTTAAATATTTTCCTCTAAGAAAAGTACTTTTTGATTTTCATCTTTAATACATTTTATTTGAGTTAAATCTTTAATTTTCTTTTCTCTTTGATTGGCTATCTCATACATATATTTTTCATTATCTTTAATATCTAATCTAAAGATCACTAGAATTTTTCAAATCACAAATTATTCTCTTAGACTCCCTATAGGCTACCTTATATTTTTTTCAATTCTCTAAATTTTTACATTTCAACTAATTTTTATAACACTTCTTAGAATCCCTACGAACCAACTTATATTAATAATAATAATTTCAAGAAATTTGAACCCTCCATCTCCACATACCTCAAAAAGAATTACTACCTCCTTATAGAGCTTCTAAAAAACATGGCAGGATGGTCAGCCAAAATGGGCCATCACACAGAAATCTTCAAAAACCAGCAAATGAATTCAAATAGCAACAAAAAACGGGTTAAAGATAAATAAACGTTATAGCCTACGGAAAAATGTACATTACATCTTAAGTATGCACATCACAGCAACTTAAGTTAGTATTACATAGAACAACATAACTTACAGGTATCTTGAAGCACATTGATCTGCTACATTCAATCAATTGCAATCTAGTTTAAGCCTGCATGATTATAATAAAAAAAGGTCACTTTACCTTATATTGTATAAACGTAATCATAATAGTTGATATTAGCTCTTCTACAAAAATGGGAAAGTGGACCAAATGCATAAAAGCATATTACATATCAAGTGCTAAAGTTGTTAATTTTATCAGTAAAATATCAACTTTGGAATTTAATAATGCGTTGGACAATACAATAATTTTTATTTCCATCTGTAATAAAAAATAGGCATTGAAATAAGAGGCAGCACAAAAAACCTAGTCTTTCCGCATTAGTATTGAAGAAAGCCAACATTTTCAAGGGTAGTAAAATAACTAGATGTCAGCACTCACATGCTAGGTAAAATGCCACAAAGCATTATATGTATTCGAACAGATTATCACCTGGGAAATTTACATATATACCACAAAATTCTCAAGAATTCTCATATCTAACACCTAAAGTTTAATATTTATACTTATAGTATTTTGATGTCATAAACCTATACTTTAAAAGAAATGTTTCGCTTTTAAAAAGTTAATAATGATGGTATTTTCATGTGATGTCAAAGTATTAAGTGTTATAAAGCAAATATGAAAGTTTAGGTGTTAGATATGTAAATACATAAGAATTGTGTCGTATGTATGTCAATGCCCAATGCCCCTTACTAATTGCAAGCAAACAAGAACTGGGGACAAAATAAACAATTTACCTTCACTTCAAAATGAAAAAAAAAAAACAGGATTTTTACCTATATCTTCAGTTTTTTGGATCATTTGCCACTATTGTTTTCATCGCTGATAGCTTTCTCTCTCCATATTGCATGAACTTCATCAGTTCGAAACCTTTGGGTAAACGTAGATTCCTCCAATGAAGTGGTCGCACCATGAGCAAAAGCAAGAAGACCGGTATAAGCAATCATTGCTCCATTGTCAATGCAGTATCTATCATCGGTTGCAAAGAGCCTGCCGCCCCTTTCAGCGCACATTATCTTCATCATCTCCTGTAACCTTTCATTGCATCCAACACCTCCGACAATGAGGACATCCTTCGTGTCACAATGAGCCATGGCGCGTTCAGTAATCTCAACAAGCATTGCAAATACCGTTTCCTGCAATATTTGAGTAAGAACAGTATGGAATTTAAGCGTCCCTAAAACTACAGTTTGCTATTTAGACAAGGAAGATTTACAGATATACCACTCAATTCTTACGTAATTACATATCCAAAACCTAAACTTCAATTTTTACATATATACCACCTTACACATGCATGAAAAGGATTATTTCATTTTTGAAAAGTTAAAATGGTAATAGTTTTATGTGATAAGAAAGAATTGGGTGGTGTAGATGTAAAAATTAAAGTTTAGGTGTTAGATTTGTAAAGACATAGCAATTGGTTGGTATGTATGTATGTAATTGCCCCTTTAGACAAACAAATAGTATGAAACTAGAGAGCTTGCATGTGCAAAATAGACTGATTATACAACAGAGAGTCGTACAATCGGGTTTTATACCACACAAGACAAATGCACGGTAAGATGCACGTTTTCAAAAAAAGTACTTGCGTTATAATCACATGGCTTTGAGTTCTAGTACAACAATTTTATTTTCTAGACAAAACTGTTATTTTAGTCAACGTATAAAGAACAAGGTCAACTTTTTCTCACTTCAAAAATTTTGACCAACTATGAAATGGAGACTACTAATACCTGCAAAGAATAACAGAGGTCTGCTGGAGTGCATTCATTATTTTTCAGCTTCTCAATTGCAGTAGCTTCAATATAACTTAAGATACCACTAAATGAAACGTCCATTCCTTTAACAACGTATGGGAGATCAAGGAACTGTTGTCCTTTCTTTGCAAGCTGGGTAAAAAACAAGAACGTAGCTTAGTGAAAATAAGCTGAATCAAGAAAAATCCATTCTCAATGCGGAGGCATATAAAATGATGTGCAAGTACTAGGAAGTAAATATTGGTTAACTGAAAGAAAAACATTCAAATATTGAAAATCATCATAAAAAAACAAAGTTTTGGTTCAAATTTCCCTCATATGATATGTTCATGTCAGTGAAAACAAATAAAAACCATGGGGAAAGTTTGCTGGGAAAATAATGCATTAAATAAAGGCTAAAAAAAATGTTTGCACGCTATATCAACCAAGAAAGTTTGGCTCAAATTATAAGAAGAGAGACTATCAGTTGTCAAAAACCGTACGGCTAGCCTACCCAATTATATGATTATTGAGAGATTATTGAGATATGATTCATATGAAAGATAAATTTCTTAAACTTACTCAAGTAGCTTGTAACACCTTATAGCTAATTCCTATAAATTCAATAGCAACACGGACTATCTTCATAGTGATACCTACCACAATCTACCTAATAAATTAAAGCTTGCTACCTACCACATTTTAGCATTCTATCAATATATAGTCCCATTGTGTCAAGGCATCACATAACCATAAGAAAATAGAAGAATAAATAATGAAATGAAAAAGAAGCTTAAACTTTCAGCAATAAGAAGAAGAAGCTTTTGCAATAAATAAGGGAGGAGAGAAACAATCTCTCTCATCTAAAATTGAGCACGATACTAATAGCAGTAGCAATGCCTTCTTCTCCATGTTCGTCCCGTTTTCACACTAGTGGCTCCATTCTCTCTCAGTCATTGTCATGGAAATATTGTATCATATACTTATTCTGCAAGAAACAAATCTTTGATTTGCTCATCTTTTAAATCCTAGAGCTGTTTGGTAAGGGATTTAATAAATTCTGTAAAATAGGATTTATTAAATCCCGTCAACACAAAATTTAGTAAATTTGGGTTTTTATGGCAAAACTAAAAAGATATTGAGAAAAAGCTTGATTTACTAAATCCAGCATATAAAAATTGTCTTTTTTTTTCTGTCTAGCAAGATTGAAGTTAAATTCAACTTAAATCTATTACAGAACAGTAGTGAAATATTTGATTTCTATATAACAGGGGAGGTAATTGAATATCACTAGATTAGATTAACTTTTATGTCATATGATTGTGATATTTGATGTGTTTATTTTTCGTTTTCATTTAGTTTTGCTTGAAATTATATTGCTATCCTAAAAGAATGACATCAATAAACTGCATTATATCAAGCCATTTTTTTTATTGTTTCTTCTATATAAGCTACCGCAGCAGTCAATTACTGATAGGGCTAAGCTTTTAATCATGCTTATCAAAGACATAACCAAATATTGCCACAAAGGCTATCATCCTGTCAACATTTCCAGATGAAATCAAACAGGGAAACCAACGAGTTACCTGCTCAATGTTGTATCCAGGACTCGGATCATTAGAAAGTGTCAGAACCCTAGCAAACCTATCGAGGCAATTCCCCACAGCAATATCAATAGTTTCTCCGAAGATCCTGTATCTCCCTTCACTATAAGCTATAACCTGGGTGTTCCCACCACTAACGTAAAGCACCACCGGGTCATCGGCGCCAGTAACCACACGGCCCATCTCGATATGCGCGACGCAATGATTCACGGCAACGATCGGCTTACCCCATAACTGCGAAAGTACTCGAACAGCGACGGCACAGACCTGGAGCGGCGCACCCATGCCGGGGCCACGAGTGTAGCAGAGACAATCTATATCCGCCGGAGATAGGCCAGCCTCATCGAGGGCGGAGCGGACAAGCGGGATGACGTGCTCGAGGTGGTGGTGAGCGGTTTCGCGAGGGAGGAATCCATGCCCGGGAGGTGTGATGTAGGTGTGGCGAGGATTGGCGAGTATGGATCCATCTAGGGTTACGATGCCGACTCCGATCTTGTTCGCGGATCCTTCGAAGCCGATTGCAGTGAGTCTCTTCATATCTTTCGCACTATCAGTCGCCGAGTTTCTGTGGCGTTAGAAAGTGATGGCGGGAAATTAGGGTTTGGATAACATGAAAATGTGGTGGTGATCGGATGGATGAGGATACTTGAGCTAAAAAATCGGAAGGATAACGGCCACGATTAATACAGGTGGGACCATCAGGGCCGACCAACTATCGCATCGTTAATTGCTACCAATTCTATGCAAATCTAATTTCTGTTTGGCTACAATGAGAATTTAACTTAGAATTTACTTATTTTGAATTTAAATCCTGAAAATTGCTTTGTAAGATGAAGTTTAAATTAGAAGGGAAGGGTTGTTGTATTAGTATTAGCCCTCTTTCTGGAAAAAAATATTACATTGAGAGTCCTGATACAAAAATTACGCCAAATACCAATTTTTTTGAATATTCTGAGTTCGTCAAGCATTGCTCTCCCCTAGATTCCTTATGTAAAATACAAAGTTTCCTTCTCATATGAAGCATTAGAAGCTTGATATGGTTTGATATGCGTTGGAAAAGTGTTCTTTTTAAGATGATCTGTTTCAATCCGTCGAGAAAATATAAAAATTCAAAGGTACTTTAGATTTTTCATCTCTTTCAAAGGGTTTTTTCTTCGTGAGCTTCAATTGTGTAGAAGATTTCAAACTTGTTTTACAGGGAGGGCATTGGTACATAAATAGTAGACCCTTTCTCTTTAAAAAAAATGATTTTCGGATTTTCAATCTATTAAGGAAGAGTTTGATGTAGTTCCTGTATGGGAAATTCTTTAATCTTCTATTTTTTTTGTTAGTCTAAAATGGGAATTTCCAAAATTGCAAGCAAGGTTAGGTTACCATTAGCGGTTGATTATCTTACTGCAACGAGCTCTAAGCTTACATATAGCCAAGCTTTGAATATTCCTATCATTTATGAATGGAAACTAGGTTATTGTAAAATTTGTTCCACCTTTTCTCATTCACAGTTGAATTGTCCCAATAACGCCAAATTCAAACTTGCTCCTGTTTTTCCTAATTCCAAAGAAAGAAGTAAAAGTAGCAAAATGTATGGCTTGAGTGTCTGAAGAAGTAGAAGTAAGGTCCCGGGTCGGCCTTTTTCCTCCTTACATCCATGCTTCCTCTTTTTCAGTAGATTTGAATGAGTTTTTTGTTGGAACTAGCGCTAATTCTATCAATGTTATAGGAGAACCCATTGTTGTTAATGTTGCTAGTATTTCTTCAATTCATGATATTCATATTAATGTGTTACATATGTAAATACATTAGAATTGGGTAGTAAGCATGTAAATGACCATTAAATTTTACATGTGTTTTAAATATAATATGAATTAAATTTAACATATTTTAAACATTCTTTTGCACTTGGTTGTAATTTATGGGATTATTTTGACTTTTTTAGCGTGATATTGGCAAGTTATGATTATAGGTTCATGGCATAACAGCTTGAAGTGGCGGTTTGTTGTAAATTCAGGGACCATTGATCAACAATACAATATTGGTAAATAATCAATGTTCTATGTTACAAGTCTTAGGTGTGGTCGTGAGTGCAAGGCCTACCAATTTTGAAGGTTGCCAACAAGATTGGAGTTTATAAGGCTTCATTTGAGAAGTTGAACCTCCATTGCAAAAGTTCTTGTTCGATGAAGCAGCACCTGTCGGCACCTTCCAAAGGTGTTTGCAAGAACGATAATTTATTGTCCTTTTTAACCACAAAGGGACATTCTCCATTCCGCAAAACGTGTCTTTCAAAAGAACTTCATTGAATGACAAAATCGCTTTAAGCGAAGATTAAGTTTGGTCGTCATGGGTTTACCATTGGCTAGGATGCTGTCAGGTTATGATAGAACAACGTTAGAACGATGGTATGAGGCTGAGAAGGTCATCGATGCAATGGTCACATGATACTTCCAAGGAAATTGATAGCACGCTGGAAATGATGAAAAAAGTTTCAAATTCTCACAAAATTTTATTTTGGGATTCGTTTTGCTCTCCAATTAAACTCTAGGAAGTTTAAAACCCCTCCATTTAAATACACTACAGGAAAAAAGTTTCAAATTCTCACAAAAATTTATTTTGGGATTCGTTTTGCTCTCCAATTAAACACCAGGAAGTTTAAAACCCCTCCATTTAAATACACTACACTCAATATAATTTTGATTTAAAGCATAAAATATTAAGATGTTTACCTAAATATAGTGATTGAATTTGAATGTGGTTGAGAAAGTCAGAAAGTCATTCTTTATTCCTAGACTTTTAATAAAATATTTAATATTATACACTACATTAAAAAAATTTATCCCATAAATTTAAATGCTTGGCAATTATTTAATATTAATAGTATTTGAAATTTAATTGCCATTTTAATAAAATTTTAGAAAAAAATTATAAGAGAGAAAATTTAAATTTAAAAATTGAAACCCATTTTTTTTTTCACCACCATTTTTTTGAATATTAGTTCCGCTTCCACTAATGTTTATGTTTAATCCATCAGGAAGCACGCCTAAGAAATAGAGCTCTATAGAGAGAGAGAGGGGGAGAGAGAGAGAGCAGAAACCCAATATTGAACAATAAAATTGTGTAACATTTATCCGTGACACTACAAGAAAACGCCTGTTTAGCGTCAGAAATTTTCGACGCTAAACGGGATTAGCGTTGAATTAATGGTGACGTTAAATTGAGTGTCGCTAATTAATTTTGCGTCGACATTTGCTTTATTTTAATTACGTCAGAATTAGCGTCTCCATATTCTGTCGCAACATATTTCGTCGAAAAATGGTTGACACTATATTAATGATGCATTAGCGTCGATCCAATCCGACACAAATTAATGTTTACTAATATCAAGCGAATAATTATAGATATTAGCATCGTAATATTTTGACTCTAATCTGACGAAAAACTGCTAGAAGCAAAAAAAAAAAAGGAAAAAACATAACATATCCATTTCTACATACATGCATCGAACAAACACAAGCAACATAATATGACATTTATTTATTATTAAACTGATAAAATAAATCACTACCACAATATCTAAATATTGATTGAAAATTAAATAAAAAATAAACAGATAAAATGTTCAAAGTTCATAGTTCACAACTACAAAAATTGAAAGTTTAGTTAAACATAAATGAAAAAAATACAAAATCAGCCCCTATGCAGGGGAACACTAACAAACACATAAAAATTTATAATCTTCCCCCTCATCCTCCTGTCGCTTGCCCAGGCGATCGAAACTCTCTGTCATGTGTGCTATATTATCTACAACCATCTGTTGGCCTTCACACACCAGTCGAAGCTCTTCATTCATCATTATAACCAGTCTGGCAAGCTCGTCAATTTGAGCCTATAACGAGCCTAGGGCACCCACAGCTGAATGAGCACCCAGTCTCAAATGATATCCCCTTTACACCCATTTTATACACTCTCCCCTTCTTATTTCCCGACTCTTGAGTCTACAATTCAAAATCACACTGAGCAGTGGTAGACTAGGTACCCATACTGCTGGTGGAAGACACGGTCTAGCGAATCATCTCCCTTTTTTATCCCAGAGCTGCTCGTACTCCTCCGCATGACAAAATTGAAACATTAATTGGCACATTAATAGCCCTAAAAGAATAGAAAATTAATTATGTTTAACTTGCATTGACAAGCTGAGAGTGGTTGGATACCCACTGTTGTGTGCCCGGACACCGATGTATGAGAAAATACAACTCTGTAGTGGAGGCCTCTAGAACTGACACTTTTCTTTATCTTTGGCTTGAGTGCCTCGTGGCCATGAACTCCTTAGCTTTCCTACCTTGATTTACTCCTTCATAAGGTTATGGAAGTGTCTGCATTCCTCTGTGTCGTGATCATGATCCTGATGGTATTTGCAATTCTTTCTTATGTCTCAGAGGAAACCTCTGGCTCTCATCAATGTTGGCTCCATAAGTATTTTTTGTATTGGATGGCATCCATGATTTCCTCCATTTGATACCCTCAGAGAAGCAGCTCGCAAGCCCTTGTAATCTCTATTTGGTTGCTCGTAATATTATACCATCCTTTCAAATTACTAGGTCGGTCGAGGGTCTCAAATTCATGTTTGTTCAATGTGCTAGTGGTACCACTTGGTCCCTCCACTGTTTTGGGAGGACTGGCTTTCTTCGAAATGGCATCAGACGGATGGGTTGTGCTACTCTCTTCTCTTTGATTTGCCACAGGTGGGAGCTCTCTTCTGGGAAGGGCAGCCTTTAGATCCCCGCTTGGGGGTGCTTTCCTCCATTAACATGTGCTTATTGGCCCTCTGCAATAGCTTTGCCAAGTCCTCGGGTTCATTAATACTGAGGTCATAGTAAAATCTCTCAAACCTCAAGGCTTGCTCCGAGGAGGCTATGACCACATCAACTTTGAGATCTCTTACCTCCAAAATTTCACTTTGGAAATGTGCGATGAATGCGAGGAGACTCGTGCTCCCCTTGCTTGATCTTCTGCGAAGACTGAACACTCTTGTTGGGTCTTCAGACGCTGCAAATTTTGCCAAGAACAACCTCTTGAAATCAACAAAGTTGCTTATGCTCCCGGTCGGAAGCCCGTGGAACCACTTCAATGATGAAGAACTCAAGCTGATGAAGAACAGATGATGCATGAATGCTTTTAATTTGTTGAGTAAGCATACGACCGAATTGAATGCAAAGATGTGGTCAATGGGGTCTTACCTCCTTATTTAGACTTCCAAAGCTGGTCGTTTGAATTTTTATGGGGGCACCACTCCACATATTTGGAGGGAGAAAGTGTTATCTATTTATCACGGTGCCTTCGTCTATCTTGTGCACTGCCTTTCCACCTATATGGATCCCACATTTTCTTAGTACTGGGAGTCGCTGACTCCCTTAGGACTGGGGTTCACCTTCTGATTTGTGCGCTGGTGCCCCCTATTGAGGCTGGTTCTGCTCTTGCAGGGCTTAGTCTACAACTAGGGCTACGATGACGCTCAGGACCTCAACGATCTGGCCCATTGCTTGTTCCATGATATGGGTCCTCTTCTTTTACATTTTTCTCTGCATATGTTCCTCAATGTTATCTCCTGAGGGGTCTATGTTTTCTACTACTTTT